ACTAGATTTTTGATGTGACAGGCTGTGATGCAAGAATAACTTGATAGTACCATTGACTTATAATCCAGTTAAATTGTATTTTTACCAGGAACGTTGTGGGGTAGTTTTGATTTCTTTGATTCTATATGTTTTTTGAGGTGCTGAATCCGAATCTGAGGTTTGCTAACAAAATTTCATGACGCAACATTGAAAAAAATACAAAAGAAGTTGAAAAAGATATTTTTTTGGCAGTTTTGTGCTTACAACTGGAAAACCATCAACTTTTCGAAAATAACCTTCCTATTCAAAATCAAAGTACATAAAATTTCCTACAGATTCCACTATTTAGTTTTTTCCTCGATAAACCGTTCGGGCTCAAGCGCCAGTTGAAAATTGGCGTATTTCGGCTGTCTCCACAAAACATAGTTTTTTCGCACTAAAACCCTAAATTAATATTAAGCGTTGTCAATAAGTGAATTCCTTGCATTTACCTATTATTATTTGAATTTTATATGTAAATGTGGTTTTTTCTCATTTTCATAACGTTCAAGGTGTTTATTGTAGTCCAGAATTGTATGAAAAGTTAATTTCTAACGAACAACAGTATATCATATTATTATATTATTTATAATATATAATACTTAGTATTATACTGTGCTATCTAAAACTATTCCCACTCTCTTCCGAACCAGATAAAGAAATCACAAAACCCTACCGTAGCATGTTTGGATAATTTATTATTGTTGAATTTGGGAAAGTGGCGCTGTGGTCATTATTAATTCAAAAAATTCAAATGGCAAAAGGGGTATATTGATTTCCTATTCAACGACATTATCCCTCTTACTCCGGTGTTCTGAAGAATCACGTACTCCTCGGAGTGGGGTAACGTAGGTTACCCCAGCCAACAACTGAACCCGATTTATTTCTTTTCTCTTTACATGTTAATCAGCAACAAAAAACGAGTTCATGATTTTGGACTGTCCGTCCGTTCATCTGTGTAACTTTGTGCGCTTGTGTATGTATGTGTATGGGAGGAGGGCCTCGAGACTGCAAACGTAGGTACACGGGGACGTAATGGGCCTTCGCTCATCTGTGAAGGAGTGGGAGAGTTTTATACCAGACGGAACACTTATAAAATCTTTTGAGGAGACCGGTAGACAATGAAAAGTACGGATTTATATTTGCACAGAATAATAATAAAATAATAATAAATGATGAGTATTTGCGGATACAGCCGAAATACGCCAATTTTCAACTGGCGCTCGAGCCCGAACGGTTCATCGAGGAAAAAAACTAAATAGTGGGGTCTGTAGGAAATTTTAAGTACTTTCATTTTGAATAGGAAGGTTATTTTCGAAAAGTTGATAGTTTTCAAGTTGTAGCACAAAACTGCCAAAAAAATATCTTTTTCAACTTCTTTTGTATTTTTTTCAATGTTGCGTCATGAAATTTTGTTGGCAAACCTCAGATTCGGATTCAGCACCCCAAAAAACAGATAGAATCAAAGAAATCAAAACTACCCCACAACTTTCCCGCTAGATGCCCGTTTGAGCACAAATGGCCTGTATTATTATTCAATGATAGTACATAGGTATCTAATGCCGAAACGCTGAATCATCTAAGGGTAAGACATTCCGTTACCGAGATCTCGATCGATTTATAAAAGGCCTCGAACGAACAGATAAGCGGCCTATCGAGAATTAGTGAAACTACATGCGTTCTTTTCAAAATCAAAAATTTGGTAAAAAAAAACAAAAAAAATATATGCTTTTACAGTTTTGAACCAATATCCCGACATTCATAAATTATCGACTTCCCGAAACGGCATTGAGCTTTCAGACTAAGCGATGCGGGAAAGCTCGATAGTACGAATATAATGCCGAAAACCCGAAAGTTGTACGTTAGTCCTTTGGAAGTTCTCGTTCAGTTTATAAAAAGCTTAAAAGGCGTCCGAACAACCGACAGTTAGTTAGTGAAAGCTACTTTTTGAGAATCAAAAATGCACTATGTCGAATAACATATGCTTTTATCACAAACTAGCTAATGTATATTGTTTACTAGACTCTCGTTATTACTAATATGCGTAACATACCCTTTTCCGTATAAACCGGGTTTTTTAGGCAAAACAGAGTTAGCGTTTACGATCTTAAACACAGAAACTATAATAATTTATAACATAAGGTATGATCAGGATCCGATTATGAGACTAAAGCATTAAAGGCGAAAAATTTAGGTTTCTAGCATGCGTCGTTCATAAGGTATGGATATAGGAACTTGTAAAAAAAGCGTTGGGGAAGGTAGTCAAATGTACCCGTTGACATGGGAAAGATGTGAAAATGTACAACTTAAACGAATAACTTTCTTACTAAAAAAAGAGTAATTGGGTCGTTTAATGTTTGACTAAAAATGTACACAATCGATGAAATTGAATTGTAGATGTGAAATGTGAAACGTAACCAGGTATTTGTTAATTATATTCAGTTCGAATCCATCCTAGAAATACGGCAAATTAAATTTAGTCCTGTGAAACTATGAAATCAAGGATTGAAATTAAGTTTACCAATTACGCAACCGCCGGCTAGTAAATTATATTAAATGTAGTTGAATGAATCATTTTGATTGCTTCTGTTATAATTGACTTATATTTCAAGCACTTCATGAATATACATTGAAGTGTTTTAGAGAAAGTTCTACTGGGTCAGGTTGGTTTTGGAATGTTTAAGAACATTTCCGCTCTAATACCAGGTCGAGATTCCGTGGCCAATCGGTGCCGAGTACTGCCATTTATACTGTCGGTAGTAAGTACATCGAAAATTAAGGGTCTCAGTCAACGAAAGAGAAGTATGTATCACCGCCACATCCGGACTCACACTCACCAGCGCCTGGGCATCCAGGTTTGGTGACCATGAAACATAAAATGTCATCCAAAGTCAATCAAACCTGACCCAAAAGTTGGAAGATCGGTGATGTCGTTTTCCCAATGACGAAAGCTATTAATTCCTCAATGTATGTTGGCATACAGTGCCATCTGACTATTCTGGAACGTCGCGCCCGTACGCTTTCTAATTACCAAGGAAGATAATCTAAATTCCAAAATGTTAAGTAAGGAATAAACCTAAATATCTCTATAATGTCTTTAATTTAGCATCTCTGCGCTACTTCAAATAAAATAATTGGCAGACGACGACCTCTATTGTAACTACAAGCACAACGTAAAATCTAGCGTCCTAACACTATCATCTAGCTATAGGAGGTCTGACTTGAGAAGAAGGGGAGTGATATTATAACGTAATTATTCCTGTTTCACTACAGTAGGTACCTATACCTTTAAGGTGTGTCTGACAGCGTTCAAATTTTGTTGTTTTAAGGGAGGGTGCGAGGGAGGATGAATGAATGTGTCTCAAATTTTGTAAACGCATGCCCTCTAGTGGAGATAGTAAAACGTTTGAAAATAGTTGTGCGCTTCATGTTATTCTAATGAAAGGGTTCATCGAAAGAAATTGGTTTCTACAAACTATAACTTTCCGGTCCTTTTTGAGATCAGTGGGTGGCTGGAGGAGGCGGGGGTCTTAGAAATTGGTTTCATATTTCATGGTATTCTAGTTAAAGCTCTCAACGAAATAAACTTTTCCAAGCGGTTGTACTCTCTTGCAATTTTCCTTACTCGAGATGCGCGCATTTCTAATTTTGCAACTCGTCGAAAATTCTGGCTAAGATAGAAAAAGTTCCCACCCATCGAAACAATGCGTTTGGCAGATTCCCCCACTAGATTGGTGAGTAAATATTGGTCTTCATCCAATTTGTACCTGGACTTCGATCTTAAAGTTATATGTAGATACTATTACTGCTACACGATACGAAGAAATGATTAAACAATCTACATAGTTTGTAGTACAAAAGTAATGCGATAAATAGAATGATTAGTAAAGTAAGACCGTTGCATACTACAGTCATAATCTTTTAGATAGACTGCAGGTAAAATTAACAGCCACACTTTTGGGTCAAAACTTGTTGCTTCTAAAAGATTGTCGTTTTTATTTGTTCATCAAACTGTAGTTTGCTTAGATATCTTCAAATGGTGGAATTTTCCGAGTGAACAAAAAATAAGAAAACTCGTTCTTTCCCTATAAGAAAGTGCCTCTTTGCAAATATTAGGTACGTATGTATGAAGAAAGAGTAAATTTTGACCCGTTGTTCACTTAATTATGAGAAAGCGTCACAATTTACTTGAAATTAGAATACTAATCCCGTTTTGCTGGAATTTAATTTTTAAGTCTCCTTTAGTATTCGAAAGAAAACATCATATCAAATTACGTAGGGTTAAAATGATGTACTAATTACTTCAACAAAGCTAGGGTTGGCCGTAGGCGGCCAATAGAGCGCAATTTTCAAGGGTTACTTCATGCCCCATTGGTTTGGAACACGTCCATTGTTACTCGATTGTTGACTAACAAAAGCTCTATTATACGCATTTGCATTCATGTTAACTGTATTCAACAACTAATCAACATTTCCATGTCTTTGTAATGGCCAATCGTGCGTGCTTGTACACGCAAATTAAAATGGCGGATTTTTCTTGATATAATTAGCTCTCGACCTCGGCGAAGGGGTTACGTTGTTAATGACATATTTCTACTGTCTATAAGATATAATGGGGATGAGAAGTTAGCATCGTAATAATTGATGAATGAGAGCCAGTTATTTAATAAGCGATTCGTAGTGAGCGAGAATACAGACGAATATTTTTTGCGTAATAGTATTTTCGTAGCAGAAGCAATGCGTAATTTTAACCCTAAAGGGAAGAGGACAGGATAAAAACAGATGAGGTTATCGCCTGGGGACAAGTTTGGCGCGATCGTCCACCTGAGACCAGAGTCAGATGCCAATATCTTTAATGCTGTCTGCACAGCGTCTGCGACCATATACTACTAGGGACGCTTTTCAGACTTGACTAAACAAAGTTGAAATCACTTTTAAATAAACATGCAAGGAGATGTGATTTATGAAAGCTTTTGTTTCAGGCAATTGGGATTACCTAGCTCTCTATCGAATTCGGTGGATTTAACACCTACGTCTCATAAAGATCGTTGCCACAAGCTTGAATATCTCGTCGATCGACAAAGGGAATTGTGTGCGCAAAATGATAGGGTTCTATCGGTAGGTTTAATATTTTGAGAAAAGCGAGAGTTTTCATTTTAGTTCTGTTGCAGATAATCGGCAATGGGGCGAAACTGGCCATGGACGAATGTCAACACCAATTCAGAAACAGCAGGTGGAATTGCTCCACGTTTCCTGAGTATAATTCCGTTTTCGGTAACGTCGTATCAGTTAGTAAGTTTATTACGTACTTACTCCCGTGCCTAAATGCGCATTTAGAGATGCACAAAATCATAATCTTTTAAACGGCTAAGTTGTATCGAAGACATGAACCTCATTCAGCCTTTTAAGATTATTATTTTACGATTAGCTTAAGGCAGAGAATAAATTGAAGCACTCAAATTGTAATCACTGTTGATGTTTATAATCTTCCGCATTAAATTAAAATGTAAACTCACGACGAAACAGCTGTGTATATCATATTTGTATTCATTAGGCAATATATGCAAAAGCGATTAAATTATTAATAAATTTACTGCTTCAGTTGGTAAACTGAACCTGCGTTACCTCCCTGCTGTTTAAATTTTATGGGAGATTCGTCATCTGTGATTTCCGTTCTCAACATCTTTACACAGAAAGGTCTTACGCAACAATGTTGCCTGGATGTCGAAAACAGAGACATGCATCAATACATTCATTACAGAAAGTGCTACGTGATAGACATGATTGTCAATTATATCCAAAATAAGAAAGGTTACCTAAACATTCTATTTACGAGAGGGGGTCAGCGTCAGTATGAAGGGAGTATCCCATTTTTGGAAGTGAGTGCAGATCGTCCGTTTTTCAATGAGAAATGAAATCCATGCTTTTCGCTGTATGAGCTATCTGTCCCATTCTAACTTGACTTGATAAGAAAAAGGCTCGCACCCGCCCCTTCATTTTGGAAAATCCCCTCTATTTTTAATATTAATTAAGGTTCTTTTATTCATGTTGATCTGGCAATTCCAGAAGTACAAGCACTTCATTTGAATTTTTCAGACCCGATTGTCTAACTTCTCTTCAAGCCAAAATTCTGTTGAACTTAAAGAATTGGGGAATTTGATTATGTATTGAATTTTGAACCTGCTATTAGAGATATACAGATACCTTTTGTCCACTCCTTTTAGTTTACTATATGAGTATTATCTTGCGATACTTCGTTCTCGAGATATTCACACTTGAAGTATTGACCACCATCAACAGATGTCTCATTCTTTATTTGAAATCAGGAACTACGACCGACACGCCAGAGAGTCTGGGAGGGGGGCAGAGGTCGATGGAAAACAATAGTTTGCAAGCCCTAATTAAAATTTTCAATAATTGAAATATCAAATGAAAGTACAGCAAATGACTCTTGTCGCCATATTAGAATAATCCAGGATTTCTTTTCTGCATGAAGCGTAATTCCTTTCTGAAAGGAACTATAGATGAATCGGATAATTAATACGTTGAGCGTATAATTTGCAACGATTGAAGACTTGAAGAGGTACCGCTTTAGGTGAATCCAGCGTTAAACGCCTTAAATGAAAGAACGGCGCAATTACATTCGGAAAACTAATATTTTAAAGATAAAACTTACCTTCGGTGAAGGCGCAGGATAACGAAATAGGAAGACACAATAACTTAGCACACATTCATTTGGGCCCGAATCTGACATGAAGACTCTATATGGGCCGCACAAAGAATTCTTATAAATACGCAATTAATTGATTGTCAATGACAAAAATTAATTCCGAAAGAGAAGCTTACAAAGATTGTTTGGAGATAATATCACGCATACAAGCGGTCGATAACTAAAATTCAAAAACACATCTTAAATTACTTAGTTCTTTTATTCTCTAATAATCCAAATAATCTGGTTATAAAAGGTTTACGATTCTCATGTGCTCTTATTATCAAAGACACAAGACATTCGCTGACAGCTTCAGGAAACTTGACTTTCTTTTTAATAAACCGATCTCAATCGACGACTCGAACTGGCTTGATAAATAACATGAATTAACGCTTTGGTGGCAGTTCGGGCGGTAGAAATGTTCAACTTTCACTAACCAGACAACTGCTTTGTTTACTCGCACTCGAACTAACTTTTTCTGAATACGGACAAACCATTTTAAAAACTTTCCCCGCACTCTGAGTACTTCACTTTAGGATAACTTAAATATTTTATTAAGGTTTACTTCTTCTGCACACTTTACCTCGAAATCGGCGAACTGCATCTTCAACAAAACAACTAGGGTAGATTTCCCGAAATTGTGCATTTAATACGCTCTTTAACCGTCGCGGAACTTGCAGCAGCACGCTTGTTTTTACATTGATTGCAGTATTTCCCTACTTCCACCATTGTCTGTTTTCACAAAACTTTCAAAAACACCACCAATCGCAATTAGACTCGATAACGCCAGCGTACAAGGAACGCGTTTCGCGTGCCCACTTACGCCGAAACAATGCGCACATCGTCCGATAAACACTAATCGCAAACGACCAAATGTACCTACGTTAACGCGCAAATTCACTTTTTACAATTAAATACACAAACCTAAATAAACAATTTAGAAAAGCGATGCAATTTAAACAAGAATTACGTAATTACAAAACTTCTAAAAGGAAAAGCAGCACTGAGATAAATTCAAGTGCAATAAACCAACTTTGCGCTTACTCGTAAATACTCCGCCACATTTCATTCATTCATTCATTTTATTATTTGTGATCTATACAATAGTATTTTCACACGTCACCAGGTACAATTACATTTAAAAAAAGGCAAAGGACACGAGAACATGATCACACAAGGTACTGTTGCTTTTAAAACTTAAATGTTATCAAATTTATCTTTTAAAAATTCTTCATAAGAATAAAAAGCATTTACGATTAATAAATTGAAATACAGGCGTCCGGTCATTATTATCGGTGTTCATACCCAAATAACGTCTACATGGTTTACACAACAATATTCATCCCTCAAAATACAAAGATCAAGTGTAGGTACTTAGTTTGAAAGCCCATCCTGCACGGAATTTAAATCCGCAAATCGCAATTTGTTAGTTTCATTGTTTTGAGGTTTCAAAATCTCATTAATGGACGCAAGGAAGACGCCAGTACGCTACTGCTTGTTGGTAATAGACAGCAATTCATTTGGGGATGGAGAATACGCAACAGTGATTGTCTATATTTATACGTAGGTACGTGTCGTTAATATGCTTACTTTATTGTAGAAGTAGACAATGTAGCCAATATAAAATAAAATTTTTTGAGAAAATTATGTTATGATTTTTATTACTTGTTTTGACAAGATATGCAGAAGTTGAGGCATTGTAAAAATTCGCAGAAATGGGAAGAGACGGAAGTATCCGAAAAATTCGAACAATGTCAAGAATTCGATTAAGCTGCAGGATCAAAAAGATTGAAGATTGGAAAAGTCGTGAGAGTGCAAAGAATTTGAAGAGACTGAATAATTTGAGGATTCAAAAGAATATTATGAATCTGAAGAGCTTCAATAATCGAAAGAATTTGAAGAATCTGTAGCTGAAGAAAAATCGGAAGAAATCATAGAATCCGAAGCACCTAATAGAATTTGAAAAATCAAAAACAAATTGCAAGAATCTAAAGAGCGCAATGAATGAGAAGAATTGAAAAAATTTGAAGAAGCAAAGGAAATGAGAAAAATGAAAAGATCATATATCAAATTAAACAAATCTAAGGATTTCGAAAAACTCGGAACAATCTGAATAATTTAAAAACCGGATTTGAAGGAATGTAAAAACTGAACAAATCTGGTTCTGATGTGATGAGTAAACAAAAAATTGAAATATCGAACAAACCTAAAAATCCGAAGGAACGAAAAAATCGAAATAACGTGAACTCGAAGCATTCAAAGAATCTAAGAACATCTAAGAAAAATCTGAATTCGAAGTTTCGACAAATCTGATGAATCTGACGAAACTGAAAAATAAAGATCCGGCGAAACGATAGGATCCGAAAAATCTGAATAATTTGAAAATTATTCAAAAATCCACAGCATCTGAAAATGACGATTTTGAGCAATCGCTGAATCTGCAGCACTCGTAAAAAAGGAAGAATCGCAAAATTTAGAAGTAAAGAAACCGGAAGACCCCGAAGATGAAACAATATGAAGAATCTGAGAATTGAGGTAACAGAGGAATCGGAGTTATTGGTCTTTTAGTGGGAGTCGTAAAAAAATAATCCCCGAAAGCAACATTTTACCCTGTTATACTCGATACTCGCATGGAACGTATCTCTTTCAACCCTCGTATAATAGAAATATACCTACTCACTATTACTGTTATCATTTTCTTGAACATTTTTGTAATATGGTCGAAATTTTATGAAAAGGGCAAGGTGGCGTAATCACCGACTTAGGTATGCGATCTCCTGCGTTTGGTAAATAAAATATTCCTACTACATATATTTCACAGATTACTTTTCTAGTATAGACTTAAAAAGTAAAGCCATTTTTACCGGTTACCGCAGTCATGGACCGCAGTTACACGGTGCAAATAAATTTGCGATAGGTACGATGACCACAACTTGATCCTTCGTGTTTAAGCGATTTTGTTATATATATTTATTATTCGCATATTTGCAATATATACAAAACGAAAAATTGAAGACTGCAAAAAATCAGGTTTGCGTGACGTGAATACGCCGTGGAGGTACCTACACTAGCTTTATACACAATGATGGATTGCTAACTTTTTCCACGCGTTTAACAAAAGAGCGCATTTTAAACCAATAACTAAGTTTTGCTACTTATTTTACTTTCAGAAAGCAGAGAATCCGCGTACATATACGCAATATCCGCTGCAAGCGTCGCCTTTGCGATTACTCGGGCCTGCTCTAAGGGCGAACTCACCGACTGCTCCTGTGACAACCGTGTCCGACAGCGAAAAGGACGTTTTTGGCAATGGGGTGGCTGTTCGGAAGACATTCAGTATGGCGAACAATTCAGTCGAGATTTTTTAGATTCCCGTGAAGACGCAAACACACCTAGCGGTCTTATGAATTTACACAACAACGAAGCTGGAAGAAGGGTAAGTCCTACCCCATAACCCTGCTACAGAAATTTACAGTTCGTTTTGCGTAGAACATTCGACAAAGAATGCAAAGAGTGTGTAAGTGCCACGGTATGTCCGGTTCTTGCAGTATGCGTGTTTGTTGGAGGAGGCTACCTCCACTGCGACAAGTCGGAGAAGCTCTCTTTCAAAGATACGAGGGCGCATCTCACGTCAAATTCGTGGAAAGACGGAGAAAAAAGCTTAAAGTGATAAGTCCCGACCTGAAGAAGCCAAACAAAACTGATCTGGTGTATCTTGAAGACTCGCCAGATTATTGCGAACGAAACGAAACGTAATGGAATTAATCAAGTATTTCCTCATAATTTGCTCGTTTTTTAGGCTAAATGTCCTGGGTACAAAGGGAAGAATATGTAACACAACCAGTCACGGTATCGATGGGTGCCGTTTGCTGTGTTGTGGAAGAGGTTACCAAACTCGGGTACGCGAGGTTGAAGAGAAATGTAAATGTCAGTTTGTATGGTGCTGTAACGTTGTTTGTGAAATGTGCCGATACAAAAAGGAAGAACACATCTGTAATTAACACAAGTAACCATTCCTAATGTTGACGTATTGATCAAAATACCGTAGAACAGCCAAAGGAGACAGGACGGTAGATGGGAGAAGCACCTCTTCATTTCGTAATATTGTTATTCTATTGAACTGTAACAGTGTTGTTTCTGTAGTAAAAAATCTTAAACTTTTAAGATTTAGAAAAGCTCCGACTCCTAAGTAAATGGCTAGTGACGCTATATTAACCTGAAAATGACTGAATATGTTGTATGATAATTTTTATATTTTGTACCTTTTTTATGCGTTAATTAAGCGAAATTTGAGCAATGTGAAAATGGCGCTTTCATCTGCTCAATTTTCTCTAAATTATAGATGATTGTAATATAAAACTTGTTCAAGATATTGCGTTTTACTGAGTTGTACATTATTATTTTTCTCGCGTTCGTATGTATTCAAACGGTAATTGATGTCTACATATGACTCCATGTACATAGATTTTTTTAATAACTCTCTATTAGTTGCTAGATTGATTAAAACATACTTAGGTAAGGTTTCTGTAAATAGGTTGTGCATTATTAATTTAGATATTAATGGTACAGGTGTTATGTATATGTAAAATGTACTTATTTCGTATTCATTGTAAAGGTTCATCTTTTTAACAATTTCATAAGTATATAAGTGTGCCATAATATAATATATAATTGTAACTGTACTTACATCCCCATTTATATTTATTGATACTTAACTGTACCTACCTACTTATTTATTTATGTAAAAAGTCAGTATTAAATTATAATTAAAGGTTTTATCTATACACTTACTGATACGCCCAAGTCTTTAATTTAGATCTAAATACTTTTACTATGTTTCAATGTAAAAAACGTCGCTCCGTCGCTTTGTCTACATTCTAACTTGTCTGCAAAATTGATTTGGGTGTTAAATGAAAGCATCCATTTATCTTTATCATAAAAAAGGCACCAGTGTGTGTGGGGGGCCCTACCAGATTTTGCCGGCTTATCTATTACGGATAAAAAATTTATTCGATTTTTTTCGTTATTTCTGCGAGAACTATAAAGTGACACGGCCGGCGGATGAAAGTGTTTGCTGCGCGGTTGCCGTATATCACTTTATCGTTCTCATTCGCGCACGAATAACGAAGAAAATCGAAAAAATTACTTTCCGAATTCTATATGAGGGTGCAAATTGAAAGGTAGATTTGATTAACTAAGACTAATGTATTTGAATTCCGCAACACTTTTGTAAAATTGTGAATATCCCAAATTTTACCCATTCACTAAGTTCAATGCAGAAAATGTTCCAGAGGCATGAAAAGGTTTTAACTATAGTCTGTACTAATGTGACAAGCATTTGCACCCCTATTCCAACACTTAAGCATTTCTTCGAGCCCGTGTCATAGCTAAATTTGACGCGCGAATTGAAAAAATTATAAATAAATGTATTTTCATTTTTTATTTTAATTTTATATCATATATTGAATTGGAATTTCAATCAGTTTATGTGAGTAGGCTAACCCGCTCTTTCACCGTGAGGGTAGATAAAGTGAAACGGCTGATGGTGCATTTTAATGACTGTCATTCTTATATCAAATGCGCAGCACGATATACAATGGACATTCAGTACATATGACAATTCTGTTTCTATGGTAACAACCGCGACGGCAGAACCTAAAGGTTGCTATTTTTGACGTCTAAATTAAATTCTAAATTGTCAGAAGCCTCTTTCCTAGTATAAGTCAGAACAATGAACAATGATTTATATGGCTTCTGCAGTAGCATAAAGTTTTGTATTATACACACGACGATACAGGGAAACTAAGCATCTCGTGAAAGTTAATTTACCTACTCGATGGTTAAAATGTCCATTTATCGTCTTATATAATAAATATAATGTGGAAACACAAAATAAGAGGTTGAGATCTTCCACAGACACAGCGGTAGTTCGTTTTGGGCATATGATTTTTTTTAACTTCGTTGCACTTGCCGATAAGGTCGAGCGCCACTCAATTCTATCTTAACTTCCCCCGTATAAAATTGAGGAGTGACGAGGGGAGTAGCGGTAATAACAGTTCAAATCAGTTTGGGTACCAAAAGACATACTGGTCTATTCAATCACCAAAATGGCAAACATAAAATACAAAATACTCGCCCAAATGCTCAAAATGATAATTTACTCACAAGTTACTCACAAATCTTAAATTTACAATTGAAATTCCCCAATTTAATAAAACCCCAATCAAGAATGATCGATTAAATCGATTACTGAATCTTAAAACAGCTTTTCACAAATAAATTGATAATTGCTAATAAATTGATAATTTCGTTTTCATCTTCCCTAGTTTAAACGGTCGGAAGTGGGCGGTTCCCGTTAGCACCTTCTGTGGGCACTCCTTTTCTGAGAGTCTGAATTTGTTATCAGAGTTTCCATAACACATAGATGTAGAAGCTATAGGCTACTACTTGCTTATTTCTTATGGATTTTTACGAATTGAGATAGAGGACAAAAAACAAATTTCTTTAATGCATCGCCATCATAGCGGTGTTGATTCAGCCAGGTCTAGTTACCCGAAATTGTTGCACCCCAGAATAGAAATTTAAACCCTGTATATTCTTACATTTTTGGATTTTGTAGACACTTTTAAACCAGATAGGTAGAGATACTTTAAAATCTTAATTACTACACAAATCAATTTTGTCTAATTTCTCCAATAAAAAGGATTTTAAATAGTTTTGAAACTCTCAAAGCTAGCTTCATTTCGTGAAGCCATTTTTTTCAAATAGGACCACAATAGCTTTCCTGGGTATTTTGAAGCGCTTTGTATATATCAACTATATATAATTTTGAACTCGAGTTGAAAAACTTCACTTTCTTTTCTAGTTGTACAAATAACTAATTTGGAGTAGTTACTCAATTGGTTTGTCTTCATATCGCCCACCAAAAAAAGAAGTACATTCATTGTACCAAGAAATTGTTACAATGTTTTGGTAAAACTGGTCATGATTATTCAAAATAGAATTTTTCGAAAATGGTAAGTATTGGTACGTATTGGTACACAGAATTCTGGAAAAGTAGTTTGGGGAACTATTCAAAATCTTTCCGGTGTTCCGCGTAAAGTTGGCTGTGAATTTTTGGAACCGGATTTTCTGAAAACGACTTGGGTACAATGAAAACGAATTTTGGTACATACATTTGGGGCATGCTGAATTTTGAAGAAGGTACATTAATACTTTTGGGAATTATTCGAAATGTTTCCCGTGATAGAGTGAAGTTGACCCTGATTTTTCGGAAGCGGATGTTCCGAAAGGGGCGTGGGTACAATGTAAAAGAGTTTTAGTGCATTGGTTTCGGAACCAGTCAACACCATTGTGCTATGTAGGTATGAATTATTGTTTTGCGACAAATGTATAGGCAACACATCAAACCCATCACGTACAGGGTAATTTATCTGGATGTATTCTACGAGTCGATCTGATCTGTGGTCTCCGGCAATGGGGAAAGGAAAACAAAATCCCTAGACAAATCAATCAAAATTTAGGGTTATTTGCAGAAACAACTTTTTTTAAAATTATAAATCGAAAACCCGTTAAAATGTCGTTTAGTTTTGGGACTTCTACCACTAAAAGTGCAACTGGGTTTACATTACCAGTAAATACAACTGCAGGTTTGTAGCGTAGTTTGTTTATAATCAACTTTATCTGAATTTTGGTTAGGAGCAACTCCAGCCAAGTTTAGTTTTTCTGGAGGAGCTGGTGATCCGAATAGCACGAGTGGAACTGAAGCCAAAGCACCTAATTTGTTTGGTTCAAGTTTTGGTTTAAGCAGTACTACGGTTACTACATCTACACCGTCTACTTTCCTTGGTCCTTCCCTTACGACATCAGCTTCAACCGGACTCACTTTCGGTCAATCAGCCAGTAAGTTCTGCTCGACTTAAGATATGAGCTTGACTTATTGTACAATGTTGCAGCTCCATCTGCTCCTCAGTTTAGTTTAGGTTCGAGTCTCGCAACTACTACGACTACCGCCTCTAGCATTCTAAACTTTGGTGCAACACCAATCAGCTCTGCAGCACCTGCTTTCTCGTTAACATCAACAACTACTACAACCTCCACACCTATAAGTTTCTCGACGTTAGGTGCTGTTTCAACATCTGCACCAGCATTCCCCGCGGGAACAGCCTTGTAGGTACTTGATCAAAATGACCACCAAAAGTCACTGTGACAGTGTTTTAGAACAACTTTAACCACATCAGGCATTTCAACATTACCAGCTACTGGTTCTATGACATTTGCGCAACTGGAAGACACAATTAATAAATGGACTTCTGATCTAGAAGAGCAAGGAAAACTGTTCGGAAATCAGGCTCGTCACCTCAACGCTTGGGACCGACTACTAATCTCAAACGCGGAAAAGGTAAGCTTCTGTTTCTCATTAAAATTGGCAATTAGTTTTGGTTTCAGATTTTAGGAGTCAGTAACGGAATAGAACGTATCAAACAGCAACAAGATCAATTGGATCAAGATCTTGATTTTGTATTGGCACAGCAGAAGGAACTGGAAGATTGCATCGCTCCTTTAGAAAAAGAACTGAGTGAAATTGTTGTAAGCGACGTTGACAGAGATCAGACTTACAAATTAGCTGAAAATATCGATACTCAATTGAAACAAATGTCAGAGGATTTAAAGGAAATAATCGAACATTTAAATGAGGATACCAATAAAGTGCAGGAAGCATCTGATCCGGTACGCTGGTAACAAGTTTTATCACAATTGTTGATAATATTTTCTTTTTAGATTGCTCAAATTGGACGCATATTAAATGCACATATGAATTCCCTACAGTGGATTGATCGGAACACCTCTCAAATAAGTTCACATTTGGATGAAATATCGAAAATGCACGATCTTAACCGTAGAAACCATGAAACATTGCATGGAGCATAACTTACCTATTTTGTTTATTGTTTTGTATTGATTCAACATTCAATTAAAGAACAAGTTTTGGTTACTACTGAAACAGAAAAATACATTGTCAAATATTGTGTTAAATTATAGTTATCAGTCTTTTGTTTTTTCTTTTCTCAAGTATAGTATGTATACTATGTTCCTACTTCTACACTGGGTGGTGGATAATAACTATGTCAGTACAACAGTATACATAGATTGATGTGTATGCACTGCTCCCATTTTAAGAAAAGGTTCAGTGTCTTAAGAATGGTGCAATGACATCTACTAACGCATTAATTTCAAGGCCTAAAGAATTATGCATCAGTCTCAATTTTAGAAAATCTGAAATAAAACTGAAAGCATAACAGATAGGTATAGGGAATGTAATAAGTGCTAGACGTAGAATTTTTTGAATATTTTAAGTTCAAAAAATGCATGTTTCATTCGAAAAATCCATTTTTTAAGGTTTGAAGTTAATAAAATTAACATTGAATAAGTAATTATAGGTTACACTTATTCGATATGCCATTAGTTTTAGAACACTGTAGAAGGACGATCAAAATCTAAATCATTCTCATGTAGCATCAAGTCAGTATTGTTGAAATTCAAAGTCTCAAAAGAACAGCAGCCAAACGTAAAAAATTTTGAAAAATCTTGAATCACTTGATGTTGCAGATTTCGAAAATGCAATAAAATACAGGGTGTTCTATTTAAAATAAGAAAGTTGCTATCGACCTCTGGTACAACCGAAAGTAATACAATCATGATAATATTTTCTTTCGATACCTAGATCATAAAAAGTTATGTTGGTATGCAAATTTCGAGATTTAATTTAAAAATGAAAGCCTGAATACTTTTAGGTAACGGTTTCCGTGAAACAGCCTGTATAACTATCTACACAGTTTATGAATATGTTGGTCTTCTCTTATATATATGGTGTAGCTGTAGAGTATGGTGGCTAAAAATACGCACTTGGTTTCTGCATTCAATCACTTGCCTACCTACTATATAGTAGATCCTCTATTGTTTGGGATATTTAAATCTGTGGTCATTCTAAGATAAATCATATTTATCACTTTCTAAATATTTTTTGGCGTATAGGGTTGCGCAAATTCCTACCTTTGCCCTTCTAATGAAACAAAAGTAGGTATATCTACACCCATACACTGTTGTTAGGTAAATCAAAACTGAATTATTGGAAATTTGGCAATAAAAAAATTCATATTTTCGTGTTTGTAAATTGATCTTTTGATACTCATCTTCTCGTACATAATACAAGTATACAGGGTGATTCCTATAGTACTTGCCACCGTTTGGGAGCGTATAGGGGGTGCCTAGGGGAGTATTTTGATATAGGACACTTGGGGTCGGAAATCTAAAATAAGGGCGCCAGAACCAAATTTATCTTCTGGAATTTCACGCCTGTATGTAAGCAACCCAACCGACCGACGTTTCGCGCGGAGCGATGCAGAGCGAGTTAGCGCGAGGAAGCGACATGGGAGGGAAGGAGGGAAAACGACAGTCAAAAGCAATAACGTTTACAAGTGTTCAACGTGGCCACCGTTGTTCTCAATGCACTTCCTACATCTAGCCAACTAATTATTATACTATTGCCATAGTGTTTATTCACTTGATACGCGTCGTTGCAGACGGGATTTCGTGGGTTTAAACAAAATTCTGATCAAGTGTCAGCCACACATCGCCGCCTGAGATCGCTCCGTGTGCACCGCCGGCCGGTTGGGTTGCCTACCTACAGGCGCGAAATTCCAGAAGGTAAATTTGGCTCTGGCACCCTTAATTTAGATTTCCGACCCCAAGTGTCCTATATCAAAATACTCCCCTACGCACCACCTACACGCTCCCAAACGGTGGCAGGTACTATAGGAATCACCCTGTATATAGCGATTTATGGACCAACCTAAAATATATTGATCCCAGATTGGTCCACCTTTGCAAATATTTCTCGCGGCTGCACAGGCACTCGCGGATTTAATTTTTTCAGAAAAGTTATTCCTGTCCTCTACAATAGCATCAACCATAAACATGATTATTCACATCAGAGCTGGGTCGAGCGTTCTAAAAAACCGCTCGAGTGACGAGCGACAAGCGCTCTAATTTTCTCAAAAATGCTCGCGAGCATCGAGTTGGTTTGCAAAGCGAAACCCCTTGCGAGTTCCGAGCACTCCTAAAAGTGCTCGAGGCGCTCGAGCGCTTTATCGCAAGCGCTCGGGAAAAGTGCTCGTGAGCGGAAAAAACGCTCAAGAGCGGAAAGTGCTCGAGAGTGGCGCTTAATCGTTCAGCGCTTGACGGTTAAAAGCGCCCAGGAGCGGAAAAAGCGCTCGGGAGCGGAAAAAGCACTTGCGAGCGGAAATAAGCTTGCGAGCGAAAACAGCTAGCGAGCGGGAAAAAGTTCATGAGCGAAAAACCGCTCGTGGGCAGAAAAAAGCGCTCAAGCCCGAGCACTTTAAGTAAACGCTCGAGTATTGAGCACCAAACGGCCGCTCCGAAAAGTGCTCGCAAGCTCTTTTTGGTTCCAGCAGTACCCAGCTCTGATTCACATAGCGCTTATACTAATGCTAGGGAGTTCTTACTCCCTTTACTGGAGTGAGGTGCATAACGCAGGTAGAGCAGGCGTTCAGATTTGGTTGATTTTTTGACCCAAAAGGGCTAATTTTTCGTCAATAATTGTGACATTCATTTTTAAAGTTAAATGTACAATTTTAGGCCGGAACGGTTTTTATAGAACCCTTTAGTTTGGGAGGGACAGCTTTTCGAAATGCAATTATGCAAAACACAGATATGGAAACTGAGAAATAATAATTTTGGGTAGGTACTTATATTAGACTGTACAGTACATTTGTATGCAAGAAATAACACGAAACCTTCACAATACTAGTACTTATCTTCTTTATTAGAACTGTATACGGATTGTAAATGATAAAGGTGGTACATAGATGTAAAATAAACAGATTTCAATAAATTTAAAGCTCTTAAAATCGAAATTACTTAAGCTTTCGCTAAGACACCTAAATCGGCTATACATTTATCTATATTTTGCTTCTCCTGTTCGCTTGTTATCGACCCCATTACTTGCTTTATCACCCAGTTGACAAGATTCTTCTGAGCCACACGACGTTCAACTCCTTCACGTTCAAGCTGGTAATCAAGATACCTTTTTACTTGGTCGTACGCAGTCATGAGACGTTGGCGATATTCGGCTTCGAGTTGTAACTGAACGTTCTCACGTTTAGCATTGACCAACATTAATTGCCCTTCTGCACTCCATTGATTGCGTTGTTCGTTCTCAATTGAAGCTGTAAGACCTTCTTGTTCACTTCTACGACCGGAGCTCAGTTCTGCTTCGTACGCATCAACTTCTTTATCTAGATAGGCCGCTATTTTGGGACCCAACTTTTTCACACCGAAAATACATAAGATCGCCAAAGATAATCCGTTATAGAATTCGTGCTCAAGGACGTAAAACTCCTTGCTGACCAAGTAGGTCGATAAACCAACAGCAAATGTGTATGGACCGGTTACACCAGTTTTTTTGTAAAAGAATGTAAACCATTCCTCAGGAATAAATCCCAAGCGAACTTTACCCGGTTCTTGCCTTACCTACAACATGCTTGCAATTCGTAATTACCCGTGGGATTTGAGGTTCATTTTTGTTGTCTCCAACTGCAGGGCATGAAGTTGAAGCAGTTACATATTTCGGTTGCACTAACGATTTTAAGTGTTGACCAGAATACCAGTAAAGTGATTACATAACCTAATTCATCATCTGATTAATCGCATAATTACCTTTCAAAAATCCAACCCTCGACAACATTTTGATAAAATTTTGTAAAATAGGAAAAATTTCTAAAACTGTGTTAAAATGCCCTTCAACAGACAGCCATGGGATTTGAGGTTCATTTTTGTTGTCTCCAACTGCAGGGCAAATGAAGTTGAACAATTTCGTAATTAACACCTGGATGTTTGCATTAAGAGAAAGTCTCAAAAGGCGTTGTAATCTTTAAATCTAAAGGGGCTACTTGAGTATTATCTTAGATCCTTTAGTTGTTTATAGCCCATGGAAAATTCGATGGCATGACTGAACTATTTAATTGTCTTTATATGACCATAATTACCGATATGCACTTAAACAACTACTCTAATATTCAATAAAGCTAGCATTTTGGGTATAAGTGTCCAAAATGCTATCTTTCCTACAGCATCAATTTTAAAATGCTAAACAATACTTAGTACATTTCTGCTTGAGACACTTCTTAAAAATGGTGGGACGAAAATTGTCACGTCTAGACAAGGCGCATAATGCGTGGCATGGGCCACGTTTTCCAACTAAGAATTGAGAAAATTTATATCAGGCGTACTGAAAATAGTCTATTATTTTTAGTTTCAATTATTCTATTGGGGATGAATTCATTACGCCCTCTCTGATAGAAACCCTCGACCTCATTGGTAAAAAAATGGGCCATTCAATTTTCACAAGCTTGGGGCGAATTTTTCACCAGCAAAGTCACTCGCCACACACAGGGAGAGGTCGTCATTACTTGGTGCTAGATCCGGATTACAAGTTTATGCATAAGAACCTCCCAATCAAGTTCCCGGAAACTGATGGCGAATTACTATCGGTGTGTCTGTGGCCTGATGTTGTTCTGATAGAACACAATTCCTCTCTTATGTTCGAAAGCTAGCCGCTACTGGGAAATTTCCTCCTTCACATGGTCCATTTGTTTTCTCTTTGCTGCAGTACATCTTTGGCGCACGCTCAAAGAATACTGAGCCAAGCAATCACAAAACTGCCTAAAAAGTTTCTTAGTATGAAATCGCACTTACACAACGCGAGATAAATATTAATATATTATTGGAAAAATAATGGATGTCATTTTGCTACACCTATTATTACATGTCAATCGCACTATGCATTCATTAAGAAACTGCTATGGGTGGTTTTTTTTGTCTCAGTTAAAGTTATGTGAATACATTTTTTTACATGTAAAGCTACTAATGTAAGTGAGGTGAATATCCCGATGATGAGGAAAAAAAGTCATAAAATATGAGAAAAACCATTTCTTGTTTGCCAGCATCGTAAAATGTACTTCTAAACGCTGTTACGGTTTTGAGACACCATTGTACTTTGCCACTTGGTATACCAAGGATCTTCGAAATTTGGTCAACATTCACATAGCGAAAGCGTTGTCTAGATCCGATTCCATATTGCAGAAACAGGTTTTAAACCTTTCTGATGGAGGTTAATCGCAGAGGAAGTCAGTGCTGTACTTGGCGATATGCTTCATAGCCTTGTAAATTTTGTACCTACATGTTTTAATAACGTACGTTATGTTTTTGTTTTGTTAATGTGCATTTTTATTTATTATTATAAGTGTATATATTAAAACAATGGAAGATCTTGGGTTTCACTGCGTGCGACGTCTTCAGAACGTGTGATAGGGAAGCCTTTCATGCACTTCCGATGCCCATAGGTTATTTTTCTTACCTAAAGGAATTCCCTGGCCCCAAAAACATAAGTCTAGACACCTTACATGACCCGGTATGCCTTAGAAATACTGTGCGATCAAAAATGAGTTGCTGTCGAGTCACCCGTGACATTTTTGTTGGCATGGGAAATTGTACTTAACTTGAACTTTCAAAGCGACTGGTCGACCGCCACTCATTTTTTATCGCTCGTTATAATACGACCAAAAGTCGGCAATTTCCTAAAAATGGTGGCTTTTGACGGACTTCCTGCATCCAGATTACATTTCTGGCGCTACCATTGGATTTCTCGAGTTAAACTCAGGCGAAATTGACACCCAAATCTCGTCTGTAGACTATATTTAGTTTTTTCAACAATTTTACAATAAATCACGTCCCCACCCCCTCTAAAATCTACCCACACGGAAAATGTCAAGAGTTCTTCGGGCCAAATCGTGGTTCTAAGGAACAGCTGTATCGTGGCACCTTGGTATCACAAAATGCAGTATCTTTCAAGAATTGCCGTTGTACCGCTAGTATTAAGTCGGCTTGTCCATAGGTCGGCGTAGTAGAGATAACTTGCATTCTCCTGAGCTGTTGCAACTGCGAAGGCTCAGGTTGTGGGAAATATTTTCTTTGCTCCATGCAACAAAAGGCTGGTTCGTCAGTTTGGATATTCAGTCTGAACTTTGAATAGCAACGCTTTGAGCTCAGGTAGCTCACAAAGTTGAAAGTTAAAATTTCAAAAATGGAGTAAGTTCACCGTCCTTTAAAAGCAAGCTGCAAAACATCTTATAGAGAAGGGTCTAGCTAGTAGGTACAAAACATAAATCATCAACATGTTGAATGAATGACTCCATGAGTGAGCTCTATTGTATATACGTAAGTATATAGTAAAAACCAAGATATTTTTATTTTAGTAAGAGCTGAGTATATTTAAGATTTACGTTCCTTTTAGGCGATCGATTTCGGATTACGGCCTGAAGATGCATTTAATTGAAAATCCGGAATTGATCGCCTAAAAGGAACATAAATCTTAAATACAGGTACTAAGCTCTTACTAAAGTAAAAGTATCTTGGTTTTTACTATACACTATACAGGGTGGTGACTTGCGTAACGCATCATAGGGATTTCAATGTAATAGTATTTTACATTATTAGCCAGGTATAAGTGAGTTTTTACTGGCGATAGGAGAAGTTGACTGGCGAGCCGTCAGGCGAGCCTGTCATCTCCTAGAGCCAGTAAAAACTATTACCTGGCGTATAATGTACAATATTTTATTTGTTACTCATTTATAAACAATAGTAAACGTAAATAATTAGTTCTTCAATTGATCTCCAAAAAATGTCTAAAATATCATGTTATCCATGTAACAGAGACTTCGCATTAATTCTGGCCAATGAAATTACTAGATTACTAACTTGTAAAATTTTTACAGGTCAGCTGTCAGTTTTACAAGTCAGTAGCGTTTAAACATGACGTTTACCCGTTTGCGTTTTGTCTTGTTAATCAACGTTTACAACTGAGTAACAAATAAAATTCATAACATGCGATTATTGGTTCCCCATTCCCCCCATATTTTAGAGCAAAAATATATTAAGGTTTTTTTTTGGAAAATTTTTTTTTACATCAATCAACCGTATTAGTTTTCAATTTTTTGCATAATAAAGACGGAAAATTCCAAAAATAAAACCCCCATCTTTTTCAATAATCTGCATGTGATGCCATGGAATTTTATCACACAAAACTACGCCAATATCCGTCATGCCATGGAATGTCTGCTATAAAACAAACGAAATTCTATCAAAACGTATTATATTTAGAACAGCGAATTCAACATAAAGAAACACCAAATTGCTAAAAACGGTTTCCTAATACAACAATTTACAATAAATGTTCGAATAGGTTACCATTAACTGCAAGACAGTAACCAAGTCGATCATAAAATCCATTTCGAACTGCTGCTAATTGATATCTTTTTGTTTTAGAAAATGCCATGGCAATGCTGATTATTGAAAAAGATGCGGGTTTTATTTTTCCAATTTTCCGTCTTTATATGAAAAAAATTAAAAACTAATACGGTTGATGGGCGTAAAAAACTACTCATGCTTTGCGGGTAGGTACAATCACATTTTAACATTGTAATTAGCATTAAACGACACAAACAATACCTAAACGTAAACGGTCCCCGATGCTGAAAACTCGCCGTTAATTCGAAAATCCTCGGAAATCGAAATGTAATGCGTTTTTCGTAGATTCTGCCAACGGATTTCTTTTCTACTGAAAAGTCTCGTAGTTGAGGTGTGTATCGGTGCTGTTTGTACATTTATGTAGGTACAATGTATATACGGTTAACCAAAATTTCAGATGATAATATGATATATATCCAGTTAAATGGGCCAACATTTCTTGCAATTCACTAAACATTGAACTTTGTAGATAAAGGTCAACAAAGCATAACATGTAATAGCAAAACCAAGTTCAGCATTTGCATTTCAATCGTGAAATCATTGTTTAAAATATGCGAAATTGAGGAATCTAGTTTCAATTTCCCCTGTGATGTGTTTAGAGACCTGACCCTACAAACTAATTGATAAGGGTTAATTGCTAATGTGACATTTAGAGGCTGTATTAATAATTTGTAGTACTTTAACTAAAAATAGATAATAATGCTTGCACAAATTTTCATTTGAGCTTTACCTTTTAAATAACTTATTTCGTTTTATGTAGAGAAGTTAAAGTAATTATTTATCGCACCCAATTGTAAAAATTTCAGGATTCGTAAGTACCAATCGTATGTATTGAACTAAATCTCGAACGAGTTTCACTCATATCAGTGTACTCTTCAAGAATTTGATTATATCACATGGGTTTCGTAGATCCGTCCATCCCTCCACCCAAAGATTTGAAATCTCAGCACTACATAAATGTAATGAATGGGGGTGTCTATGATTAGCATGATGTGCATGCAACAAATTGTGATTTAGCGTGCACATCTTGCCTTATGTGAACTATCAGAAATTAATTATTTAGACCGTTTGAGTTAAAAATAAAGGGATATTATTATTATGGTCGGTGTTTCTCGTGAGAACTATCCTGGTTAACTAATCGCACGGGTTAAAATCAAGTAACGATTAGTGTTTGTCGTTCGTCTGGTCAAGTTTTGTCGAGTCCTAAATTTTATTTTTAAAAAACCACACATTCAGGAAACATAGAAATAGTATGTAATTCATACTTACCAGCTGAAAACACAATTAAATAAACTTTCTCAGTTGTCTTGTTAACGGCTTACAGACTGTAAGAAAGTATGATTTAATAAACAAGTACTACCTAAAGATTATCAAGTAGGT